GAGGGGGAGGAGGAGGAGGAGGAGGAGGAGGGGAGGAGGAGGAGGAGGAGGAGGAGGAGGAGGAGAGGAGGAGGAGGAGGAGGAGGAGGAGGAGGAGGAGGAGGAGGAGAGGAGGAGGAGGAGGAGGAGGAGGAGGGAGGAGGAGGGGGAGGAGGAGGAGGAGGAGGAGGAGGAGGAGGAGGAGGAGGAGGAGGAGGGTGAGGAGGAGGAGGAGGAGGAGGAGGAGGAGGAGGCGGGCGGAGGAGGAGGGAGGAGGCGGAGGAGAAGGAGGAGGAGGAATTTCAGGAGGGGGAGGAGGAGGGTGTAGGGAGGAGGGAGGAGGGAGGAGGAGTTGGAGGGCGGAGGAGGGAGGAGGGAAAAGGATGAGGAGGGAGGAGGGAGGAGGGAGGAGGGAGGGGAGGAGCTACGGAGGAGAAATGAGGAGGGAGGAGGAGGAGGCGGAGGTGCAGGAAAAGAAGGAAGGGGAGGGCTGGTGTAAACCCAAGACTCATCATCGATGTTGGAATAATCCCTCCCTCCAAGCTCCCTCTACACAGGCCCCTACAATTTTCATTTTCATTGAGGGAGGTGCCTAAGCACCATTCTCGAAACTTCGACGCCACGAGTCAACCTGACTGTTGCGTCTTGACGACCTGGAATCGTACCAGGACACCATACCTGGAACTTCCAGCGCAGCGAGTCAACATAACTGCTGCGCCCTGACACTCCAGAATCGTTCCGGAAAAACCGTTTCTGGTACGTTAACCATTGGAACCCGTGGGATTCTTGCTAATGTTTACAACGAGTGTGCGCGGCGCTAGGGCGAGAGCCACATTTTGACTAGGGGCCGCCCCCCAATCCGCGAAGCTTTTGATTGTGTTTTACACGAGTGTGCGCGGCGCTAAGGCGAGAGCCACATTTTGAAAAGGGACCGCCATCAATCCGCGAAGCTCTTGCAAGTTGTTCTAATGAACGTGCGCGGCGCTACGGCGAGAGCCACATGTTTAAAGCGACCAACCCTCAATCCGTGAAGCTTGTGCTGATTGTGAAGCAGAATGGGCGCGGCGCTCAGGCGAGAACCTCATTTTGAAGACCCCCCGCCCTCGATCCGTGAAGCTCCAGAATGTGAGCGGCGCGATGGCGAGAGCCACATTTGGGAAGCCACCCGCCCTCCATCCGTGAAGCTATTGCCAATTCTTCACGGTTCGCATATCCCCACCAGCCCTTGGTTTTCCCGCGTTTGGTTCTGGGAGCAAGGGGGTGGCCTTTGAAGGCCTCTTCGGGCCATCCCTGGGGGCCGCGTGGGGGCGAGGGGAAGAGGAGGAGGAAGAGGAGGAGGAGGTGGAGGCCCCGTCGCTGAGATATCACCAATGGCGCGTGAACATATACTCCCGACTCCAATCCACAGCATATTGCCAGGTGCTTCCGCTTTATGTCTTCCTCATTCTCCCTCAGACGACCTGTCGCCCAAAGGGCTGGTGGGATCTATCAGCCATCAGCTGGTGCTGCTGCTGCTGGTGGTGCTGCTGATATTGTTGCTGTCTCTGCTAGTGCTGCGGCTGGTGCCCTGGAAGGCCTTTTGGGGCCATCTAGGAGAGCATCGATCAACAGATGGGGGGTCCTCGATTTCGGTCCCTTCCCAGGAGCCCTCAAAATCGCCTCTTGGAGCTATCCTGGGGCTCTTTGGGAGGGTATTGGAGCTCTCTCTCTTGTGGCTCTTTTAGGGGTCTTGGGGCCCTCTGGGGGCCCTCTTGGGGCTCTCTTGGGGCCCTCTTGGGAGCCATGGATGGCCTCTTGGGGCCATCTTGAAGGTCATCGATCAAAGGAGGAGATGATATAACGTTCAGCCCCCCCCAAAGAGGCGCAAATGGGGCCAACACCTGGGTAAAAACCAATGATGTTGGCTTCCTCGCCGAGGCCGTTTTGGACGCCCTGACACCTCGCGGAACCCCAAACAGAACATCCAGGGGAGGGGGTAGGGGGAGGGGTCAACCCCTCCCCGGAGGGGAATATGGTTTTCCTTGGAAGAGGGAAGAGGAATCTCGTTAGACCACCTGCGCCCAGAGGGCTGGTGGGATTTCTAAGCTTCAGGAATATAAATGGTCAGGGAGTCTCAGGCGAAACGCCAGGCCAGCCTTTTCCATTAACCTCGGGGTGAGACAGGGGGGGGTAAATAATGGAGGAGGGGGAGGAGGAGGAGGAGGAGGAGGAGGAGGAGGAGGAGGAGGAGGAGGAGGAGGAGGAGGAGGAGGAGGAGGAGGAGGAGGAGGAGGAGGAGGAGGAGGAGGAGGAGGGAGGAGGAGGAGGAGGAGGAGGAGGAGGAGGAGGAGGAGGGAGGGTGGAGGAAGGAGTGAGGAGGAGGAGCAGGAGGAGAGGAGGAGGAGGAGGAGGAGGAGGAGGAGGAGGAGGAAGAGGAGAAGGAAGAGTTGGATGAGGAGGAGGGAGCTTTCCCCTCCCCCGCGAATTCCTCTGCCTGGGGGAGGTCCGCCGCCTGCGCCGGGCGCCCCACCGGTGATGCAAGGCCGGAAGCGCGGGCCTCTCTGGGTGCGGCGTGGAGGGAGGCGGGGGGCGGCTGTGATGCAGGAGGCCCGAGAGGACCACAGCACCAGCCGAACGAGGAGGGGGGAGGGAGGAGGAGGAGGAGGAGGAGGAGGAGGAGGAGGAGGAGGAGGAGGAGGAGGAGGAGGAGGAGGAGGGGGGAGGAGGGGAGGAGGGAGGGAGGAGGGAGGAGGGAGGAGGGAGGAGGAGGAGGCAGGAGGGAGGAGGGAGGAGGGAGGAGGGAGGAGGGAGGCGGGGGGCGGCTGTGATGCAGGAGGCCCGAGAGGACCACACCACCAGCCGAACGAAGGCTTTCGGCGATTCCCGCCCTCGGAGGGCCCTCGCTGGGCCAGGGGCCGTGGAAAACGACCAGGGATGAGACGGCGGTCCCGGAGAAGGGGCCCAGACCTCTGGTCGGGAGCCTTGAGACGGGGGTCAATGCAAACGGGGGTCAGCCAGAGCGCCCGATCTTGCGGGATCCTGCAGGGCCAGGGCGCATTGACCCGGGTTTGGGTGCAGGATCTTGCAGGATGTTGCAGGATTCTGCAAGGCCTGATTGTCCCGGGTTTGAGTTGACCTGGGTCAGAAGATCCCCGATCTGGGAATCCACGGTGCGAGCGAGGAGACCGCGCGCTGTTTTGTGTTTAGTTCGAAATGTGTTCAAAGAGCTGTTTGGGGTATCGAAGGAGAGACCGTTGCATACACATATAGTATTGTTGCTTCGCGCCCATCCAGAAACGATAAAGGCGATAATGCAAACACCATCCGCTTTCTCTAGACTTTAAATGGATGTTGGTTTCTCGGGGGCATCCTTGGGATGAGCCACGTGTAGCCGTCATAGAGCAGCCTTGGGACCTCTTGGAGCATCTTGGAAGCTATCTTGAGCCATCTTCTGATATCTTGACCTATTCTGGATGCTATCTTGGGCTTTCTGAGGCCCTCTTGGACTCATCTTGGGCCATCTTGGACGCTCTAATCCTTCTGAAGGGTATTGCAGGTGCCGGGGTCTTTCTTGCAGGGTACTGCATGCAGGGTTATGGAATCGACTTTGCAGGAGGTCGTTGCAGGGTATTGCAGGGTGCGCGGCTAGGTCCAGGGGAGAGGGCAGGGAGAGGCGATATATTAGGAAGCTGGAAGAAGAAACGCTCTAGACCATCTTCGCCCAAAAGGCTGGCTGAATTTTCGGGGTTCTGCTCGGATTTCTTGTGTCGGCGCTGGGTCCCCCTGGTGGCGCCTCCAGCGTCGCCCTTGGGGCGCTTCGTGCGCCAGGGAGGGGTCCCGCCGCCGACCCAAGAAATCCGTGCGGACCCACCACGGTTTATTCTCACGCTGCCCCGCCACCTTTTTTTCTCATGCGCGGGGGCCGCGTGCTCTTCTCGACGGCCGAGGTCGGCATCCACGAGCTGCGTGCTTTCTTGAGGCCGAGCTCTGCTCCGACAGCAGAACCGACCACGCGGCTCTCTCTCTCCCCCGGGCGCTCCGAGGAGGGGGCCTCGCCCTCGGCGTTCCCCTCGCCCTCGGCGGAGGCCGGCCGAGGCCGGCAGAAGCGGAGCGGCGGCGGGCCCACTGGCGGAGGCCCAGCGGGAGGCGGCGGCGCCATCCGTGGCCCTCCGCCGAGGAAGGAGTGCCAGCCTCTCGCTTCCTCGAAGGGCGAGGCCACTTCTGGAACGCCTCCACTTGGGAGAGGCACCACAGGAGGCCAATCCAAGCCAACTATATTTGGGCAACGCCAACCATTTGGCAAAGGCACTACCTTTGGGAAACGCCAGCCATTTGGCGAAGGCCATTTCTGAAACGCCTCCAATTGGGAAGGTGACCTCTGTTGCGGGCTCGCCGGGGTCCCCCCCCGATCGCCGAAGGCGATGCGACAGCAGCGTCTCGCGCGCCTCGGCTCGGCCCCCCCCCCCGCGGCGCTCCCAAGGCCGCGCACCGAAGGCCACTCTTGCCTGGGGTCACTCTTGTGCGTAGCCGAGTGAAGGAGATCAGGAGCGGCGAACGTATCCATATCCACGCCCTCGTGGTCTTGGTTCTGGGGCGCGATCCCGTGGATACGCGGTCGCCATGCGCTCCGCGCAGAGCATCCGTGAAAGAAGCGCCCCGTAGCCACCAGGCCGCGGCCCAGGGGCTGGCCCGCGATGCCGTGGATGCGGCCATGTTCTCCGCCCGCGAGGAGAGGGGTCCCGAGGGAAGCGGCTGCTGGAGTTTTTCCCCGGTCTTCGGGCTCCTGGCGCCCTCTCTGGGCGGAGGGCCCTGGCACAGTCAAGAAACAGCTCGAGACGGAGAGCTGGTCCTGGGGGTGGGGCGCTTCTCATCATGCAAAGCGCGACGCCGGTGTTTTCCTAATATGGGCATTGCCTCAGGGATTCCAGCTTGTTTGTGAAGAGCTAGTGGGTGCTGTGCGCGGTTGGCCCCAGCGTTCCTCGGGGTGCCCCAGTGCGACTTCCGTACACACGGGCTTCATCTGGAATTCCCCAGTTTTGTCTCCTCACAAGGGCCTTTGTCGGGTTCCAGTCTTGTTCGTCGGATTATTAGGACGCGAGCTGTAGGTTGTGCATCTTATAGCTTTCATGCTCGGGCATATGCGTACACTTTCTGTCGGAGGTCTGCGCGGACTTCTTGGACTGGAGCTGGAGCCCCCTCCCCGGCTCGCGGAGAGCGCGGCCCTCGCTCGGCGCCTGGAGGCGTCGCCGAGGGGTTCCCGTGCCGACCCAGGCAGCTCGCGCGGACCTCCGAAAGCTGGGCTCTGCGTGTGCCGCTCTGGGGCTCTGCGTGTGCCGCTCTGGGGCTCTGCGTGTGCCGCTCTGGACCTCTTCCGGGAGGCTCCCTCCTCCCGCGCACCCGCTCCCCCGAGCCGCCACCCCCTCGGCCCCGTGGGGAGCCCTCCCCCCGTGGGGCAGAGGGCGAGGGCCGAGGCAGAGGCCTGTCCCGCCTCGGAGGGAGGCCCCGCCTGGAGCCTTCCTGGGCTCCGGGCGCGGCCAGGAGAAGGAGGAGGAGGAGGAGGAGGAGGAGGAGGAGGAGGAGGAGGAGGAGGAGGAGGAGGTAGGAGGAGGAGGAGGGAGGAGGAGGGGAGAGGAGAGGGAGGAGGAGGAGGGAGGGAAGGAGGAGGAGGAGGAGGAGGATGAGGAGGAGGAGGAGGAGGAGGAGGAGGAGGAGGAGGAGGAGGAGAGGAGGAGGAGGAGAGGAGAGGAGGAGGAGGAGTGAGGAGGAGGAGGAGAGGGAGGCCTCCTCCCTCTCCAAGCCTTCGCCTTCCTAGGCTCCCGTCTCCCGCACCCCTCGGTGCGCGGCCTTCGGAGGGCGCGGCCCTCGGAGGGCGCGGTGGGGCCGCACCCGAGCACGCAGGACGATGCCGTCGCACCGCCTGCGGGGATCGGCAAGCCGCGCAGCAGAGGCCCCTCCCTGCGCTGGGGTCACTCCCTCCTCCTCCTCCTCCTCCTCCTCCTCCTCCTCCTCCTGCCCGCAGCTTTCTTTTTTTTCTCCCCCCCCCCCCATCGGGATCCCTGGGAGGAAAAAAAACTCCTGCCCGCAGCTTTCTTCTCCCCCCCGAGCTGCCCCCCCCCCCCCCCCGGGATCCCGCGGGGATCTCCTTCCGCGGGCACGAGGGCGAGGGCGGAGGCAGGCGTGGCGGGCGAGGGCGCGGGAACGGGTCCGCGGGCGCGTTGGGGGCGCCGTGTGCGTACACCTCTGCGGGCAGGCGTGCTCGTGAGCCTGCGTGCGCGCGTGCGGCGTTGAGGACCCCCCTGGGGCCTGTATCGATCCGATCGATGCCGAGCTCGGCTGGCCCAATCCGATCCGATTCGGATTCTCGGGCGCTCTGGTGCGGCCCGGTGCCTGCATGGCACTGCTGTGCATCCTGGCGCAGCTGGTCCGCTCTGATTCTGGCTCCGTGCCGACGCAGCCCGATCCGACGCCCGATCCGATCCGATCCGATTTGCCGATTCGATGCTGACCGCTTCTGACCCTTCCCTGCCAGCCGCCATCGGCAAACGGCAAACATCCCGCGGGTGATCCATCGGGTGGCAGGACGCCCCAACCAGACCAAGAAGCACAAGCTTCCCCAGGTATGGTTGCCGGGAAGCTGGACACGCATGAAGCGGCCGGCCTGGGCGAAAGCTGGATACACGTGGGGCCAGATGTCTTCCCAGCGAGCGGCCCTTCTGTCGCCATGTAGGCGGGGCTTCCGCACGTGTGTCCATCGCGTGGCCTCTGGATGTTCCACATGTGAATCCAGCCATGTGTGCGTATGTGTGTGTGTGTGTTTCGGCTTCCTGGTTGGGATGTCCATCTCGAGTCGAGACCAGCCCCCAATCAAGCCCAGAGGACCCCCTGGGCTGGCACTCTTGCATGGCCTGCAGGCCTACCCATGGGCGTCAGGCTCTGCACCGCCCGAGATAATCCGTGGGCGCTGGAGATGGCGCGCTTCTGCTCGGTGCAGCTGTTGTGACCTCCGTGGAGTTGCCCAGATGCCCAAACGGAGGGCTTGCGATGATTCACCACCGTCAGAGACACCCCCGATCCCGCAGACGAGTTGTGTGCACCGTGCCGCATTCGCGTCTCCCGAGACGCCACCGATCTTCAACCCAGGAATTGTACGGTGCAAAGTTTCCGGCCCTCGGAGCCGAAACGGCTATGCGCCCTCACCGCCTCGGAGCGGGGCCTGAAGGGAGACCAAGCATTGAGCGGTGCATGGACGCCGTTCTCGTACCACATCGACCAGGCCAGGGTAAACCAGCTTGCCCAGTGCACCTCCTCTGGGTGGGGATCGGTGCCGCGAAGCCCGAGGGCGACGGCTCTCATCCCCGCCTCGGGGGGGTTAGGTCGGCCAGCGGGGCCAACCTTTCCCAGGTGCGGGTGGGGATCGCAGGGAGCCGCCGCCGCTCAGCTTGCCTCCTCATGGCCCTCCTGCCCCCCCTCCATGAAGTCAGATCGGCATCGCCACCCCTTCCCACAAGCGAGTTTCAGAGGCGGGGTAGCCGGGAGCTGCAG